AATCGGCGAACGTTCACCCGGACTTTCGGAAAAATGCTCGTGAAACAGCGAACAGGTCGCTCTTCTCTCCTTTCCAATCCCGTTACCCAGGTCGCTTTCGCCCTGCAGGGAAGATATAGAATGGTTTCACGCTCGTTATTCACCTGGAGAATGTTAATTCGAAGCATTCCGATCGTTTCAATAGGAACGAAGATAGATGGAATATGATTGCAAGGTTAAATAATTAAGAATCTCTTTTTTTTTTTGCAGTGAAAAATAGAATAGAAAATGTTGCGTTGGGTAGAAATGTAGAGTGAAAAGTAACGCTTCGGTGTTGCCATGGAAAAGCGTTAAAAGAGCGAAAACAATCCTCCCCCGGGCATCGAAAGTTCCGCGAAACAGGGTTCCCCGGTTCTAACCCGGTGATTTACAGGCGAGCGTAGTTCGCCGATGAGGAAAAACAAAAGAATGATAAAACAACGATGAAAGCGGCCTTTCAGCCGTATGACTAATCGGCCACGGTGCACCGCCGCTTAAGTACGATTTATGCGGGCCGACGAATCGTTGACGTACAAACGGCGGATTTCAGTATTTTTCGGGGATCGCTGATTTATCGGCTGTCCCTTTCTGATAACGGTGGAAATAATCAAAATTTCGGGAACTGGTGTAATTGAATAGCGTAATCTGAGCTTTCCGGATTTCAATTTTTCACAAATCAGCCGTCGCTGATTTATTGGGCATTCATTTCTGATAACAGTGGGAATAATCAAAATTACGATGTAATTGAATTGTAGAATTCCTCGAAACTTGATTTTCCTGGATTTCATTTTTTTCGGAGATCGCTGATTTATTGGGTATCCTATTCTGACATCGGTGAAAATACTGAAAATTGCACAAACTGACGTGATTGAATAACAGAATGCCTTGAAATCTGATTTTCCTAGATTTCATTTTTTCAGAGGTCACTGACTTATTAGATATCCTACTCTGACATCGGTGAAACTACTAAAAATTACAGAAACTGATATAATTGAGCAGCAAAATGCCTCGAAATCTGACTTTCCCGAACTTCATTTGAATTTATCAATTATCTCCTCGAATAAAATCGCAAAGAATTAAAATTACCGAATCTGATATAATCGAATAACAGAATACCTCCCGAAATCTGACTGTATTCTCTACGAAGAAAGATTGCTCGGAAGCAGAAGGTTAGCGAGATTTGTTCGCCATTAATCTCAAATGTCAGCGTGTCCAATATTTCTTTCGAAGTCTCACACATGATTTATGAACCTTTTTTTGTCACACTTCGTAACGATACCTTCGATTCCTCTCTTTTCTACCATTTCCAACGCTTCTACTCATAATCATTCGCCTCCTGCATTCTTCCCGTTAATTCATTTTATTCAAATCGATGCACTTGGTTGCACGAATAATACGAAGATTAATGCCACGTAGAAACGTCGCAAAACCATGCTGCCTCGAATACCCAGACCGCGGAATTTCCTCGCAAAAACAGCATCTGTCGTAAGACACTTAGAGCAACTCCTCGATAAGAAACCTAATCTCAGTGTGTCGTTCACGCGCTAGATCCTCTACAAACTGCCAAAAAATCGTCCCTGCAACATACTCCATCTTTTCTATCACACACCGAAACTTCGTCGAATCTGTTTCCTCCGGGTTCGTGTCGGTTACCTTTTAGAATCGTTCTTACGTGTTTCCAATCGACAGTGTCGCTGTCGATTACTCGCCGCCGCGATTAGAAAGCGAGAACGGACACCTATGACCGGCACGGTGTAAGAGGGCAAACCGATCCAACGCGATCGAGGGAAACCGATTTCGAGTCGTTCAACACGCTCGGTGGCTCTCTAATGAATGCAAGCCGCGGTTGGCCGAAATTGCTGCTACTTGGTACTCCGGAACCCTTCGATTTCACGTTACAAAACGCGTCCGTTAATGCGTTTTGCATAACAAGTTCGTGTCGTCGTTCGCGGTTACCGTTTAATAGATTTGCACCGATGTTCGAGGATAATTACCAAACGAGGCGTTCGGTTCGCGTCTAGATCGAAAGCGTAATTATTTCTATCGAGAAGTTCCTGTTCCACGGGATGTGTGCAGAGGGGAAAGACGTGGATTAGTACGGCGAGATTAATATACCTGGCGAATCTATTTCGCAAGAGGCTATCGAAGCCCGATCGCGTGACCAGAACCAAGAGAGGCAGTTTTCGTTTTAGACGACGGTTAATGGCGTTTTTCGTGCGTGACTCCGTCGGGTAGGCTAGGCGACGGTGTAAAAAGTGTATGGAAGAAATTAAACGGAGTCGTTTACAGGCTGGTTGCACAATGCGATAGTTTGAATTCGCGGGCGCACCTGCCTCGAACGGATTACGCCCATTCTTCTGATACAATTCTGCATTTCTTTTGTGTAGTTCTCTTCTTGCTACCTTGAATTGAGTGACTGTTCGGCGGAGTTGAGGAAAATTGTTGAATTAAAGAATTTCTGTATTGATGAAATAATATAGCGTGTGCTGGATAAGTAATTCGGGCGAAATATTGAAATTTTTTGGGAGAATTGTGTTTGCTTAGACGGGGATTGCGAAATAAGTGAAATTCTTCGTTTCTTCTTTGGAAATTGGTCAGATTAAATTGCTTATTGGAATAAAAAGTATTGTGAAAAAGATCATAGAAGAAAGGATTAAATGGGATCTCAATTTCAATGATCGAATTAATAATTTTAGTTCTGATGTGTTATTCACTCTCTGCTTGATAAGTAATTATGGTGAAACGTCGAAATTTTTCAAAAGAATTGTATTTTTTTAAGTAAAGATTACAAAACAAATTAAATCCTCCATTTCTTCTTTGGAAGCTGGTCAAATTAAATTACTCACTGAAATAGAGAATTTTGTGAACAAAATCATAGAAGAAGGGGTTAAATCCTCGACTTCTTTGGAAAGTAGTCAAATTAAAAATTGCTTATTGAAATAGAAAATTTTGTGAGAAGAATCGTAGAAAAAAGGGTGAAATGTAATCTCAACTTCAATGACTAAATTTATAAATTTGAGTACCGATGTACAATTAATTCTCTGCTTGCTAAATAACTCTATCGAAGCATCGAAGCGATGTACTTCTCTCGTGTGATAAATTTTTCAAAAATATTTTATCAAATTCTTCATTTCTTCCTTGAAAATTACTCAAACAAAATTGCTCGCTAAAACAAAGAACATTGACAAAAAGAATCTCAGAAGAAAGGGTTAAACGTAATCTCAACTTAAGGTAAGTTAAATCCTTCATTTCTCTCCTCAAAAATAGTCAAACAAAATTGCTTCCTAAACTAAAGAAAAGGTTAAACGTAATCTCACCTTCCTCCAAAATAAACAATTTTACCATTCCCTGAAAATTTCTATCAACTCGAGAAGACTGTTCCAAACAAATGATAATCGATCAGCTGATAATCCTCTTCGAGGGAGACGTGTCGCCACTGGTTACGCAATGGCCGACCAGAGGCAAGCGGACGCGTTACGACAGCCTGGGGCAAGGACGTGGACCTGTCTCGCCAACGGCTACGATCTCGTGAATGAACCCTAGCCGAGTTTACGGATTTCCTCTGCTACTCGCCTCCAGGTCCGTTCAACTTCCTTCTATTCACTCTCCCTACCCGTTTAAAACACTGCAACCTCGTCTATTCACTTTTTAGAGTAGAACCTCGGTTAATTAACCGACCTAACTCTTATTCCACTCGTGTGAGACCAACAATTACTTTCTTTACGAAGAGTAACGTGACGAAAGCTATAATAACTGAGGGAAACAGAACGGATTCATCAGCGATATTACATTTTCGTAACAATTTTTCTCCTTATTTATGTAGTATAGAAGGTTGTTCACGAGTGTTGGAATATTTATAACGATCCTATGCAATTCAATTCAACATTTTTCGACAGTGATAGATTTCACGCTGACAATGAGTAATAATTCTTCGACGCATCGTTGACTCGAAGAGGAACTCTTCTCCAGTCTATCTCATGGTCGGTAAATATTCCGATACGCTCATGCATAAACGTACAATTCTACCAGAATCAGAGCAAAGAGGAAATTCGTCCGTTCTCCATCGCGATAGTTCGTTCCTTTGATAAATTCATTTAACCATCCACGATCAACGAATTCGTCTCGATCTCTAATTACTAATTACCCTAAAGGGGGATACGGTAGACGAGAACAACGCTAATCGAGGCATAGGCGAGAGATGTCGACGTCGGTGCAAGAGTGTTTTCGCGATGCCTAGCCACGGTTCCATAAACTAGGATGTAGAAAGTCCAGTCGGAATATGCGAACCTCGCGCAGTTTTACGCGGTCACGAGGAGGATCACCGCGCTCTCCCTTTTCCAACGACCGATCTTATCGTCGTTTACCGCGAAAAAACGTGGTACAAACTTGCGTCGAATTAAAATTTAGTTTAATACGCGGACAATCGTAGAAAGTCTGCACGTGAAAGGTTCCACGGGACGACGTTTCGTATCATTTCGACTGCTTTTAACGAAGAAACGATAGTCTCCCTGAGATAATTATCATATATCACGGGGAGATGTAGGCGACGCCGATAATTTCTCTTACTTGCAACAGCCTCATCCTCGATCACCTTCGACTACCTTGCACGATGATACCCAGCCAGACACCTCATCGTCCTCCCGTAAAAAGAAAAGTCGCGAGAGAGGACTCAATCACGTTGGGAAGGATGGTGTATGAGAAATGGAGCAACCACAAACCCGCGTAACACCGTCGTTCCACAAGACAGAGACGATGATCGATCGAACGAACGTACCGCCGAGCTAGTTCACTATAAAAGCGCGCGATCTAGTCCCGCGAAAGTCTCTGCCCTACCACCGTACCCAACCTGCCTCCCTCTCCAATTAATCCTGACACACGAACCCTCTCCAGCCAAGGAAACTCTTCCCTTCTCTCCGACTTCGCGTCTGATCTCTTCCGCGCGTGTACTCGCGCTTCCCTTCCCTACTCTCGATATTACTTACGATCCTCATGGTCCGTTGAATGCTGCTCTCGAGCAGTCACGTGACAGTGGTGGTTGGATAGCCTCGAAAATATCCGCCCCACGCACACATGCACGCACCGGTACAAGGCTTGACAGCGTTTTCTCGTTCGACTCCAATTGGCTGATCGAACGTCGAAGCGTGTTTAGGTATGGATCTTCGAGGTGAGATAATGTTGATTCCTAGGATGGAGATGTGTGTCTCGAACGGTTGGAGATTTAGCTTGGAACGGCGTGACGGTGTGGAGCAGCGAGGTAAACTATGGCGATAATAGGTGGATCGTAGGTGTACACGAGAGCCGCGCGCTTGCCGTACCGGGACCGTTTGACGCGAAGTGGGGGCTGTTCCTGGGACTTATATGTCGCCGCTGGAGGCCACAATATCCCGTCGGACCCCGCAGGACCACCGAGCCCCTCTAAACGGGCCCTTGACGATGGTCAAGGTGACCCCTGCCCCGCGGGGACACCATGCGACCGATCGCTCAGGTGTTCTGTTGGCGATCGCTTCGGGGAAATCGACGTCTCTTCATTCAGCTCTTGCGTGTGCCCGATGGCTTCTTGCGTTACACCGTTTCGCGATACGTCGAGGTTACAGTTGGAGGGAAATTGAGGTTGACTTGGATGGATTTTCGGATGAATTTAGAGCGAGCTGTGGGTTTTTTCTTCTGTTTTAGATGAGTGATTGTTTGGACGAGGTGTCTTTGGTGGGGATAGCTGGGTGGGTTGGAAGGAGTTAGAGGTGTTTTTGGAAAGTTGAGCGGGAATTAGGTTAGGTTAGGGGTTTGGAAGTTAGGCTGAGTGATGGTTGTTTTCTTTGGAAGAAGCGCAATGGCTGCTTGCGTCGTCTTGTGATAGTTGGTTGGCTTGGAGGAGGTACAGGTGCTTTTGGATAGTTTTTGGAGAAATTTAAGTTAGACTGAGTGTGTCTTTTTTTATTTGGAAGATGAATTGTGTTGATTGAAAAATACAGCATTTTAGAGAGAAAGATGTTGGATGAGGTTAATTCTAAGGGTAGTAGGAATCCACCCCTTGATTACTATCCTACTTTTACTTTAAAAATACAAAGTGTACGAAATGTAAAAATCTTCCCAGAAATTTTTCCTCTCGAACCACTCAGACGATCGACATTCAATCCCAAATCTAATAATAAACCCCTAATTTCCCATCCCTGTCCTCGTCATAAATTATTCACTTCACATCTCACCTCCATTCGACCGCTTAATTGTAAACAGTTCAGCTCAATTGACGACACAACTCGGCCGCACACAGCGAGCGCTCCACCTTCGCCAACACCGAAAGGGTTAAATTGGACCGAAAAAATTGAAAGGTTTAAAACGTGGCAATTATCCCTTCTGAGCGCTACAGTTCCTCGAGTTCTATGTAATCAATCTTCGTCACGGATCAATTGATTCGCCTAATCAAATCCACGTGTCGCCAGGCATTCCTCGAGAAGAGAAAAAAGACAATCTTCGACGATTGTCATTGAAGAATGGAATTATCGTCGATTGTCCATACGATCTCAATTAAAAGCGTCACCCGCGACATATTCCAGTGACGCTTCTTTGCTACCATTATGCTGCTGCGATCGGAATCCGGATCCTGTGCACGCGCGATCATTAATGACATCATGTACAGTTGCAAGAACTGTAATGTGTCGTCTGCGACGCGATTGTCATCGCTAAACAGTGTCGTCTCGGTTTGAAATTAAAATGAAACGGTAGCAAAAAAACGTCCGTCCTCGTGGTATCGCATTTTCCTGGTCTAGACGATGGAATAGACCGATTTATCGTGACGTCGTTCTTCTTCGGCGCGATTCGCCGAAAAAAAGAGAGAGAAGGGAAAAAACGCGCTGGGGATTCACGCTGACGCGACGATCTTCTCGTGATAAACGCGAAGAATAGAGAGCCTCTTGAATGGGAAATCTATCTTTTTTCTTCTCCACTCTTTCACTCTCTTCTTGCTTCGATCTTGCCGCGTCTGGAGGGAAAACTTGTTTCGGTCCATCTAAAAAGACTCTCGCATTATACGGGGTTCCAGGAGGTATTCTGAAATATACGAAGTACGTAACGCGGTAGATTCAGTTTGGTTCGTGCAAATTCGAGAATGATATTCTTTATGTTTTACAGCTGAGTGAAGATGGAATTAGAAATACGGGGGTCTTCAAATATTATTGTTCATTCATTGACAAAGGAAGTTATTAATTTCTCTTTTTCGCGAGAGACCGAACAAATAGATGACATCTGGAGTCTTACTGTCCTCAAGGACCTCAGTGTTTTAGAAATCAGAGGTCCCCGAACAAAATTATTAATTTCTAATTTTCACAAGAGATCCCAGAAGTAGATGACACCTGGAGTCTTGCTGTCCTCAAAAACCTCAGTTAGGAAGCTATGATCTAAGTTTAAAGAAGATCTCAGTTTAAAAAAGTAACGAGGGATCCTCAAGTGAAACTTTTCATTTCTCATTTTCACGAGAGTCCATGCAAATAGTTGACATCTGAAGTCTTACTATCCTCAAGGACTGCAGTTAGGAAACTACGATCTCAGTTTTTTCGAAATCAGGAATCCTCAAATGAAACTTTTCACTTCTCATTTCCACAAGAGATCACAGAAGTTGATGACATCTGAAGTCTGACTATCCTCAAAAACCTCAGTTAGGAAGCTATTATCTAAGATTAAAGATCTCAGTTTAAAAAAAAAGTCAAGAAATTAAATATTTTAATTCTCATTTTCACGAGAGACCGTACAAATAGATGACATCTGGCGTCTCGCCATCCTCAAGGACCCGGGTTTTTTCGAAATCAGAGATCCCCAAACGAAACCATTCATTCCTCATTTTCACAAGAGATCACAGAAGTAGATGACACCTAGACTCTTCCTATCTTCAAAGACCCAAGTTTTTATCGTCTCGCAGTAACAACACGAGAAGAGTAATTAATCCCGCAATCTGGTCAGAAGTTCCCAAGAAGTTCGCATAATTTCCGGCGATGAATCTCGGGCGGGGAATAAATCGGTGTCATCCACGGACGATTATCACGATTCGAAGGAAATTACCACCGCTACGAAACCAACCGACCAACTTTTTTTTCTACTTTCCACCGTATAATATCGCAAGGCCCCGTCGATCTGCATCTGTCGTGTGCAACTATGGTGGAAATTCAATCGCGAATTCAAGGGAATCGTAGCATTTTTCCACGTGACAAGGCCATTTTGGAGAACACACGAGACTCTCTCGTCATTTCGCCCTTCACTTCCCTAGAGGACAGTTCTTCCTAAAAAGCAGAAAGTACGTAATACAACGTGAGGTATGAAGTGGAACAAGGCTTTTGAGCTGCACCGATTTGGTCTGGGGTAAATGGAAAAAATAATGGGTTGTAACGACCTGATCAAGGCGGGGTTGTACCATTATCTCGTCGAATGCCCCCGAGTATTAGAGATAATTCCGCGTAGAGGAGAGATATTACAATGTATCGGGTAATGGTAGAGCAGCTAAGTTTGTATTAATACCGCGGAAGGGCTGATTTCCTTCGTTTTATCTGCACACTGTTATTTCAATCTCTTGGAACATTTTTTATCATGTGCTTAAGCAAGTGTGTCGAATACCGAGGACCTAAATGTGTAAATAAAATTAACGAAATTTTTTCAGATTGAATTGATTACCATCGATAGAGACACTATTAACCCTTTGCAATCGAGTGGCGGCTGAGAAGCGACATTAACCCTCGTCCGTCCCTCGTGTCAATTTGACACACTTTTCCGATAAAAAATTGTATTATTCGGCTATTTGTGGAAAAAATTTTTTCTTTATTTTCTATATTTAATAAAAGAATTTACAAAATTAATTATTTATTTTTTCGGTGTCAAATTGACACCGAGGGACCTATTAAGATGCGATACTGAGTGACGGATGAGGGTTAAATAATCGTCACTTGGTAAATAATGAATGAAGACAGAGAATACCTACGGGCCTCCATAAATTTGTTTACCACAGTGAAATAGAGAATAAATCGAATATTTAAATAAAATAGTATAGTTCGTTTCTACGTTAGTTTGAAAAATTTTCAAAGGAGATCCGACTTGCAACCTTTCCTATAGCAAAACGATCTCCGAGTGCGAAGGGTTGAAAATTTTTCAACAGCATAGCTCGACTTAGGAAGCATCGTTGCACTCACGAAGGATCACTCTAACTTCTCTCTAGGGTTAGTTCCTCGAGAAAGGGTTAAGAACAGCGGTACGTGCCAATGATCGCGTGAAATTAGTCTCCTGACCATCGTCAAAAATGGAATAGTTGACCTTAACCCGGTAATTAGCGTGCTTTCAGCCGCGACACGGTGCAAGGAGACCGGCAGTGCTTTCCAATACCATGGGCAGCTCGAGGAAGGTTAATCCTTGAACGATCAGCCACTCAGGATTTCCTAAATTCGATTCACTTCCCGAGGCCAAAAATATCTCTTGGCCAATTCTGTCATTCTGCACGTTCTCGTGCATTTTTTCCGACGCTGAGATCATTGATCTTGCACGGTTGAACATTTTTTTTAACACCGTTTCACAATGGGACATTTCGATATGGCGATTAATCCTCCAGAAAATTATTCAGAGAACGAATTCTTTTTGCAGTGTCTACTCTGATAAAGTCTTGGCAAAAATTTAAATCTTACTTGTTCTCGTGCTCTTTCTTTCGAGATTATTTCATAACGAGACATTTCGATATGCCGATTAATTCTCCAGAAAATTGTTCAAAGGACGAATTCTTTTTGCAACGCACACTTCTGTAAATAAAATCTTATTAAAGATCTAGATCCTTCTCGTTTTCGTGCATTTTTTCCGATTCTGAGATCGTTGATCTTTTTTTCGAGATTATTTCGTAACGAGACATTTTTGTGTAGCGATTAATCCTCCAGAAAATTATTCAAAGGGCGAATTCTTTTTGCAATATTTACTCTGTAATACTCCTTCAAATAAAATTTCGCTAAAAATCTAGATCCTTCTCGTTTCCATGCATTTTTTCCAATTCTGAGTTCGTTGATCTTTCTTTCGCGATTGTTTCGTAATGAAACATTTTTATACAGCGATTAATTCTCCAGAAAATTGTTCAAAGGACGAATTCTTTTTGCAACGCACACTTCTGTAAATAAAATCTTATTAAAGATCTAGATCCCTCTCGTTTTCGTGCATTTTTTCCGATTCTGAGATCGTTGATCTCAGAATTATTTCGTAACGAGACATTTTTGTG